CTTTTAGCAGATATAAGCAAAAACAAGATAAACAAAACCTAGAACTCTTGGTTACCAAAAGTTAAAGAAACAATGAACAAACATATTCTATATACCTTTACAGTTTCAAACCACTTTTTTGCATTTTTTTTAAAAGCAACCAAACTACACTCAGCCTTAAAACATATTAACAAATGTTTATACTATCTTTTTAACAATTCACTAAATAGTTTAATAAAAGCCAACTATTATTTGTCCAAAGCTACTACTCTGGCAAAAATTAATATTTTATTAATTATATAAACACAACTAAATTTCTTAGTCTCTAATATAATATTATTAATAAAAAGATATAAACAACAATTTTGCAAATATATAACTTTAAAAAAAACAAAAACAAAGTAAACAAATTAAATTTTACATAAACTGAAAATACTTAAACAAAAATAACATAACTTAAATGTTAAAATAGCATTTTTAAAAAAAAAGCAATATTAGTTAATTTTGAAAAAATTATTTCATCAAACAAAATAATTATTGACAAAAATGAAATCAAAGAAGCTATATGTTTACACTTTAAAAATTAGACAAAAAACAATCTCTCTAATGATGACAACTAAAAAAAATAAGAAACAATATATCTTTTACTTAATAATATTAAAAACAACATTTATAACAATCTTCTTAATCTTATCATTATAACTGAGTTTGAACAAACAATAAAAGCAATGTTCAAAGAAAAAGCAACTAAACTATCAGGAATTTCAAATAAAGTTCTTCAATATTTATACTTATTAGCTCTCTTCTATCTTCTAACTATATTTAATAACTGCTTAATACAAGAAATCATTCCTGATTAGTGGCTAAAGGCTAATATCTAACCAATTTCAAAGAAACAAATTTACAACTATAAACTTAACTCTACTTATCTTATTATATTAATTAATCATAATAGAAAAAGCTTTACAAAAATTTCAACAATTTAACTAACAAATATCTTAATACATAACTAAGTGCTATCTTCTTATAATTTTGTAGTCTTTCCTTATTAATCTATATTACAACTAATTTTACAACTCACACAACTTCTAGAAGATGCAGTCACAAATAGAAAAGAAGTTTGAATTCTTTTTCAAAACATGTTAAAGGTCTTTAATTTAATTTATATATTTACTTTATACAAGATACTCAAAAGAATACACATTCTTGATAAGACAATAAATTTATTAGCATATCTGCTCTCTTATTAAATCAACAGAGTAATTATAACTTTGGACCTAACTGCAATATATCTGGTAAAAGATAATATTGACCAAGGAGAAACAATCTCATCTTTTCTTTAAAAAATATACTATAACCTATTAATATCAAAAATACATAAAAAACAGCAAGGATATCTTAGTAGAATTTTTTCTTCAAGTGCAAAAAAGATATATACCTCTGTAATAACATATATAGATGACTCTTTATAGATTAAACTAAACAAAAGTTTTTTTACCAACATTCTACATACTGCCTTCTTATTCTTTAAATTTGCTAATATAAAAGTCAATTCTTCAAAATTCATTTTAGTTACAAACTCCTTAAATTCAGATAATACAATATTTTTTGATAAAAAAAAACTAATAGTAATTAACAATAAAGCACCTTTTAAATACTTAGAAGCATGGTTTTTGACCTACAAAAAACTAATACTAATACAAAAAGAAATAATAGCTAAAGTTAAAATTAATCTAAAAAAACAACAATTTGCTAATATAACAGAAAAATAAGCAATCTATATTATAAATAGTATTATTACTTCATATTTTTTCTATTAGTTATATTTCTCATTTCTTTCTTCTTCACAATTAAGTTCACTTAACAGAACCTGTATTTAATTAATTAAACACAAAGCAAGACTAGCATGAGAGGTTACAAATTCTTTTTATTCAACCTAAACATTTATGTACTAGTAGATTTAGCTCAAGTCCAAGCATCAGCACTAGTTACAATAGTTCAAAAAAATTTAAATCATTCCAACTTTGATACTTTTTTTTTAAAACTACAACTATAACAGCTGCAGAATGTAGCATTTACAAATATTTTAATTTTAGAACAACTTCTAGTATTTCTATTATTACAAATAAATATATAAATTTGCTAAATAATAATAGCACTATATACATTGAGACTGCAAATCATATGTGATAATAATGACAGCTATATCCAAAAAAGTTTATTAGACTGTTTATAAATCAACTTCTCAAAAATCATCCTAAGGTTTTATATTTTAAGAAAAAACTAAATAATTATAATATTATAAGTATCGAATAATTTTTAAACTTAATGAATATGGAATTGTTAGCATAGAATAACTTTTATCATAATATTAAAAAAATACCTAAAGGTCAATGCCTCCATTGGTTCTTTATAATGTAGATTTAATAACTGCTTCTGTAAATCTATATTTAATGCTTTCAAAATCAAATCTATATATTCTAGCTAATTGAACGCCTAATAAGAAAAGCTGAATAATTACAAAGGACTTAATTTGTAGAAAAATTCATAATTTATTTAAAAAGCATCTTAAAATCTGATACTATATTTTATTTTTAGATAATATATTAACAGCTTGCCAAGAATGTATTTTAAAAAACAAGTTATACACTTCTAAATACTATTATTTTAATACTATTAAATTAATTTATAATCTTCAAGTAGACTGTAAAAAAAGAATCTATATTGATCTTAATAATTTTAAAAAGATATTAACTTTAACTCTACTAGTAACAAACCAATTTCAAAAACAAAAAACATATTTTGTTTTAGCTAGATCTTTATGCTCATTCAACAGTTTTCTATACCATTTTGAAATACAATAACAAAGGATAACTTTAACAAAAAATAATAACATTATATATAACAAGTAGTCAATACAATATTGTAAACAATTTTCAAATAATTGTAAATTGTAGTTTTCAATATCTTAGTATCTCATTCAATTGTTTTACCGATCTATGACCTTTTTATTCAAACATATTAATAACTCTGTTAATTTTTGTACTTACTACAATGAATCCTAGTGCCAATATAAAAATATATACCAACAACTCTTTACTTGTAAATATAATAATCTTTATACAATTAGTTTAATCACATAACTATTCTAGTTTAGACAAACAGCAACATACCTATCTTGTTATGATACTAAAAGCAATAACATATAACTAAATTCTAATATTTATATTTAACAAAGAACTCAAATTTCCTAAACTCAAAATAATATTTTCTTACTAGATTCTATATTACAAAAGTTCTTATAAAACTTCTTAGCAATCCTTGTACATATTTGCTAAAAACTACTTTAAAACAAATTTGCCAAATTATAAACAAAATAAATTAGTTTAACCAACAATGAATCTCATATTCACATACTTCACAAAACAAAAATTAACTGATCACTAACTATGCAATACATATTATATGAAGAGAAACCCTTAGTCTTGGTAACTAATCTTTTCTCTTTAGTACTAAAAAACTTAAAATTAAATTATTATCAAAAGCAGTGTTGGCAGATGACCTTAAATGACCTATATGATTTCTATAACCTGTCATAAGTCATTTGGTTATAATGAATATTGATATGACTTATAACTTTTTAATATAGAAAAATTTATAGCAAAAATTTTTTTTACTATTATTTAATATGACCTATGTATATGACCTATGACAAGTCATATGATTATATGACTAAGGTCATATTAAAAAAATGTTATAACTTAGGTCATTTGCCAACACTAATCAAAAGAGCTACCTATTCATCTTTTTATTCATTAGAAAAATGCTATCAAATATCTAAACTATCTTTGTCCAAGATGCTATAATGTGTTAGAAAATATAATATATCTCTTAATTTGTTTTTAGAATCATACATACCTTACAACTTTAATAAAAGACACAGTGTAGAAAACTTCAAATAACTTAAAAATACTATGTTATGATATATATGTTTTTATTCAAGACTTTATTTCAAACTATATTAATAAGTATATACTTCTAAAACTAATAACTACTAACACACTAATGCCTTTTGAAAACAACAAACAAAAATAAATATGCTCTTCTTATATATCATACAATATTATTATTACAAGATATAAAAAACTTTGACTTACTTCTAAAACAATACAACATGATTCAGTTTTCTCAACCCTATCACCACTATAACCTTCAATATTAGCTAAAACTAAACCAACCTCAATATCAGTATTAAATAAAAAAATACAATATTATATAACTAATAAATAATCTTTTCTTCATTACCTTATCAAAGACTAAAGGTTTACTGACTATTCTAGCAAAAAATAGATTGAAAGTAAAGTAACTCTTATCTCCATCTCCCCTAGTTTGGTTTCTTCAGCATGTATCCTATATATGTAAATTAACTAATTAATAAAAAGATAGAGGATAGACCTCTCTTTTTAAAAAAAATAAAATAAAATAAAATAAAATAAACAATACACTTTTATTTTAACTCAAAGAATAATAAATACAGCTTAATAAAATTTAGAACAAATAAATAATAATAGATTAAAAATCATTTTAACATACAAATTTGTATACTAGACGGTTTAGAGAATATTATACTTAGATATCGGACTTTTTAAATTTAGATATTTAGACTTTCTTGAATCTGAATGAATATTTTGAACTTTAATGTTAAGCCTTGAACTTGAACACTAAACTTTTTCTAACTTGAGTGTTTGATATTAGATATTCTTGAATTAAACATTGAAGCTTGAACTTTAACATTAAACCTTCTAAGACTTGAATGAACCTTTTTAAATTTAAATGTTAAATATTAAACTTAGATCTTAAATATTCTTAAACTTGAAAATAAGTATTTTTGAACTTGAATGTTAGATATTTTTGTTGATATTCGAAATGTCAATTAGTATTTTGAAATAAAACAAAAATCAGATGATTATAATGATAGCATTTTGTTTTAGTTCACCTAACCCAACTTTTATAAAAAAAATCTACATTGGATTAAAAATAACATTACTACTATACAAAATTAAAGGAAGTTTATGCCAAAGAAAATTTCGTAAATAAATAGAGCTGAGTGATTTCTAGAATTGGATTGATTGATTTTTTTTTTTTTTGCGTTGCTTTACCTCATACCTGATCTTGAAGCTTGATAACAGCCCTTTGAATGTTAGTAAAGTAGTAATAAAACAAACTTTAGAAAAAAGGATAGCAAAATATAAAAAAAACAATAGTATTAATTTTTGAAATAAATTTATATACAGTATTTAATTTTTATAATTTAGTATATCTTAATTTCTTGGTTATATAGTAAGATTTATTAGCTTAAAATGTAAAACTAATTATCAACGTCGTTATACGCGTGATCACGCTATCTTATTGGTTCAGTCAATAAGATACACCAAATGATATTTGCAGATTATGATCAAAATAATTTATAACTTACTGTACATGGATTATATAACATCAAAATCATTTGTTTTTAAATAACTAACCATTGAATATGAATATAAATATAAATATGTACTCTTTGTTTTGATTCTTTACCAAGCCAACTCTCTTGTATCTGTCCCACAGCCTTTTTCGCCTTTTAATGCTTCACCAGAGCAACTTGACCCTGTGTCGTTTCCGACTGCAGCCCTAAATAATCTGTTACCGTATTGTTTATACATTTCGGTTACACCACCAGATGCAATTATTTTTTCCTCCATCTCAGATAGACCGAATTTGAATGTTTTTCCACAACAAGTAACAAATCGATCCTTAACATTAATTTCCACTTCGGCACCCTCTTGTGCAAGTGTGTAGAATTCTTCATCATTTACAGTTACTCCCAAGAGGGCCATATTTGGCTGTATGCAATATTGATATTAATACAATAGCAACCAATTATTATTATAATAATAAGCATAATCCATTACCTGATTTCGGCTATAAATGTATGCATAACTCTTTGCGATGACTGCTTTTACACCCGCACCTTTCAGGGCTCTTGGTGCCTCTTCTCTTGATGATCCTGATCCAAACCCTGAACCACCAACGACAATATTGAACCCTTCTTTCGCCTTTTTAACAAATTCAGGTCTTACATGTTGGAATGCATGAGTACCTAAATCTTCATCATCAATTCCAGGCATGAATTGAGCGGGAATTATGGCATCAGTATCAACATTATCTTCAAAACGTTGAACTTTGCCGGTTATTGTAACGTCAGATAAGGATTTTGATGGTAGGTTATCAGATTTTCCAGCCTTAGGATCATTAGGATCACATAAAATAGGATTTGGCTCAGATATAGTAAATGATACCCCTGAGTCTATCCATTGTTCGAGATATTCGTGATATTTATCAGCATCAATACAATCAAGTAGTTCTCTGGGATCACGAATTTGCATTTCAAACGAAGATACGGCAACTGTAGCAGCAGATGCTAAATTTCCAATAGCACCTTTACCCTAAAATTAAATAAATAATAATTAACATAAATATATCGTAGAGTCGGAGACTCATTATGAGAACGCACATTTCTGTAAGATAACATTGAGCAAACTTCAAAATGTAATAATTTAACTATTAAATTGTAAAAAATTGATAAAAACTGACCATTCGATTTCTAAAGTTTCTATTTTGGCTACTTAACCAAACTTCTCCTTCACCAGCATGGTCAGCTGCAACTGCAATACAATAAGAGCAACCCGGTGCACCAATTTCAAAACCAGCTTGTTCATAAAATTTCAATAAACCAAGGCGACGTAATTTCGCAACGATCGGTAAACTACCGGGAGTAACACGTCTCGTGCCACCTATAGTAGGTCTATATCCTTTTTTGAGTCCTGCCTCTAAAACTAAGGCAGCAAGAATTAAGTCTTCCTCTGCTGTAGTACAAGCACCAATGAACACACCATCAAGTTTTTTTCCTTCAACCTTTTTCACGCTTACTACATCATCCGGTGATGGATATATAGCAACAAGAGAATCAACTTTAGATAAATCAATTATATGAGTTTCTGCATACACTGCATCAGGGTCAGCACGGAAGTATAGTGCAGAGTTTTTGTGGGTAGGGTTCTTTCGCTTTGCAATAAATGCAGCAGTAATTTCGTCACCTTCAAATACACCAGCAATACCACCAAATTCTGTAGCCATGTTTGAAATTGCGAAACGTGCATCACAAGAAAGATACTTGAGTCCAGGACCGGTATATTCTACTGCACGTTCAAAAGCAACAGTATTACGTTTAAGTTCGCCAAGCACATAAAGAATTGCATCTTTGCCTCCAATACCGAATGGAGGTTTGCCAACAAATCTTATTTCTACGGTCTCCGGAACCTTGAACCAAGTTTCTCCTGTGACCATAGGCATGACAACATCAGCAGCACCTAACCCTACAGCAAATGCACTAACAGAACCTGCCGAACATGAATGAGAATCTGCACCGATAATCATCTGACCAGGTTGGGCACGTGTACGATAAAATTCGGTATGTAAAATAGTGTGATTTGGACGATAGAAATCTACAATTTTTGCTTCTTTGGCGAAATGTTCTGAAGCTTTGATGAGGCCAGCAGGTTTAGGGAGATGATTAATGCGAGGATCAACAGTGTGGTCAATTGCAAGCCAAAATCGATCATTACGATAAATTCCTGGTCGTCCCATTACATCAAAGGTCTTTTCCATTCCTTTCCATGTAAGTTCAGATGCTAAAGTCCAATCAACCGAAACACAGATCATATCACCTGGTTTTACATGACCAGGAGGAGGAAGTCCAATGGCAGCGTGAGTGATAATCTTTTCGCATAAAGTCATACCACGACGACCAGATGGTCTTGTTAATAAAAGTTCACGAATTGGAGTTATGGAAGAAGTACGATCCTCCGCATTTAAACCTTCCAAATAAGTTTCAAGAACTTCAGCGACCTTATCACCGATTTGGGAAGTAGTATAAGTACCACCCAAATCTTTAGTGCGGTAACTGTAACCACCAAATTCATCACCATCAAGAACTTTTCGCACAGCATCTTCAACAGATTTTGCTTCACGGGGTAGATTTAAAGAATAACGAAGCATCATAGCAACACTAAGAATAGTTGCTATAGGATTTACTATTCCTTGTCCAGCGATATCAGGGGCAGAACCATGAATAGGTTCGTATAGTCCAAAACATGGGTTTTTTCCATCAGGTAAACCACTTAAGCTTGCGGAAGGCAAAAGACCAAGACTTCCCGGAATAATACTAGCTTCGTCACTCAAGATATCGCCAAATAAGTTCTCAGTAAGAATAATTCCGTTTAACATTGTCGGATTTTTCACCAAATACATAGCAGCAGCATCTATATAATAATGTTTAAGTGGAACAGAGGGAAACTCATCTTTAATAATTCTGCTAACTGTACGACGCCAGAGTCGAGACGTAGCAAGTACATTGGCCTTATCAAGTGAGTGTATTGTTGCTGGAGGGTTCTTTCCAAGTGCTAAATGGGCTGCTAAACGGGTTATTCTTTCAACTTCTTCAACAGAATATGGAAGAGTGTCAAATGCTATAAAAAGAAAAGAGATAAATAAAATAATTTTAATTCAGAAATATGTATTAATAACAAACAGAAAACAGTATTCAACATTCATATTTAATTTTATGTTCTCAGAAAAAGCATTTTTTTTTGAATTTTTAATGTTATGTTCTTAAAATCTTTTAATGTTTTCAGTATTAAAAATTTTAAAGTTTTTTTTAATAATAAAATAAATGTTTTCAGATAGAAAACATTTTCTAACGATTCATGTTCATAAAAACTGTTAAGTGTTCTTGAGAACACTGTGAATATTGAATTTTAAACACTGCAGAAATGATTTTTTTGATGAACTTCCATTAAATTCAAGATTTAATAATTTAAATAAATCATAGGAAGTCAAAATTTCTTAAAGGTCAACTTTTTCTGCCTATAAAAAATAGGATAATAAAATAATTACCTTGACCTTTATCATCCTCTTCTTGTCGATTGCCAAAGTAAATACCACCAACTAATTCACGAACAATTGTGAAATCGGTACCCTTAACTATATTTTCTTTTAATGGAGAATGAGGTATCAATGAATCACTTGCAAACGAGCATGGACGAAGATTTGCATATAGATTAAGTGCTTTTCGGATATCTAAAAGTCCTTGCTCTGGACGTGGACCAACTCCTTTCGTTGGATCATTAGGATCAATAGGACGTGGCCATGCAGGCCCGCCAACTGCACCAAGAAGAATTGCATCAGATTCCTTGGCAACTTTTAAAGTTTGTTCTGGAAGCGGACTTCCTAATAGTTTTATATCATTTGAATTTAATATTACAAGTGTAGAATAAAATTGATTCGAAGTAAAATTTATTTACTTCGGTAATGATTAATTTACCAGTCGCATCAATGGCAGCACCACCAATTTTTTCTTCACAGAGTTCAATTACAACATTATTACATTTTGTTCTCATTTGAGAAATAAGTTTGAGCACTTTAATACCCTCTGCAACAACTTCAGGACCACAATTATCACCGGGAAGCACGAGAACTTTTACTTTACGTGTAGTCATATCTCATAAAACACTTATATTTAGTTTTAGCAGGGATGCAATGATGAATCAATGATAAATATAAAAATACAAATTAATTGAGATCATTTTATAAGATCTTACGCTTTTAGTTTGATCGGCAAAAAGATAATTGATATTCTTAATCTGTTTATTTTTGTACCTGATAATAGATAAAGTTTTTGTACAGATTGGACCTAAAAACAGTTGTGTTACATTTATTCTTTTATTCAGCTGGACAAAAAAAATTACCATGTTTATAACTACAATGTAATAATTGTTTGCCAAACTTAGGGACCCTCCCAGAATGGGGCAGAATCATATGTAATTGACCCGTTGTTACATAAAATCAAAAATATTCTAAATTCACCCAGTATTGGAGTTAAAAACTATTGTTCATATCGGTGGATCAAAACCCATCAGTTATAATTCTGATCAAAATTCTCGATCATTTGGCCAAATTTTAAATTATTTTACTCCAGATCTGGTCAGGTGATCAACAATTGTGACCGGGATTATAACTGATGGGTTCTTATATTCATTAGACTGTGCAAATCCGCCGATATGTTTCAATTGTCAGAAAGGTAATTTTAAACTGTGGCCTGCTATAGTGGTCCCCCAAAATTACAGGACCAAAATATTTAGATTCAAATATCTGATTTTGGCATTTCTGTATTCATATCGATATATATATATATATATACTTGAAAAAAAAATCAGATGATAGGATTTCCGTGTCACAAGTCTTTTCTAAAACTAAAAAAAAACCGTCGTGGAACGTTAAACTATTCTCGCATATAGATATATCAATATTTTCATGTTATCGCTATTTAAGAAATTAAGCCCTAGCGTTAATGGAAATTATCAGAATTAAAGTTGTAAAGTGGTGACGAATATGATTGCAAAATAGCCTCCCGTTGCTTGGATATATCGATCAATATGTGGTTTGATATTCACATTCACATACCATACTAAAATAAAATCTTTTTATGATGCCTTAATTCGGTTATAAAACTCAAATAAACAGGTTTTAAATTAATATTTGATATTTTTTGTATAATCTATTTTAATCAATCAGAATTGCTGCTCAATGGATAAAACCAAAAGGTATCGGTATGTATACAAAACTCGATCTAAGCTCAACCAGTTTAGCTTAAATGTAAATCCAATTAGATTTTGAATTTACAACCTGTTTCGCACATAGAGATGTTAAAAGTTCGGTTATCTGGTTCTTAAAAGCTTGCCCAAACTACTTAAGGATTGGAACCCGTTATTCGTTTAACTGCCTATGGTTAAACGAGTAAAAAATTTTATAAACTATTAGTAATAATTTCTCTGTCCTCTTATGTCATTAATAAACTATCGATAAAATATAAAAGAAGTTTTGATTCAAATGTACAGTAAATGTTGTGCCTCTGATGATACCTGAGGTACCTCTAGTGATGTACATCTCGCGGGATCACAAAATTCTCGCGCCTGTGATCTCGCGAAATGATTTCATATTTATCTGAGGCACCTCAGTTATTATCTGAGGCAACAACGATTATTTATTCAATATTAATCCGAGACATGATTTTATTGTTTGATACTTTACAAATTGTAAATTCCGAAATAAAGCGCATATTTTGGTAAAAAAGAACTCCTGATATTGACAATATAACATTCAAAATTTTAAAGGCAAATATTAATAATGGTTTACATAAGTAAGCATTTGGCTCGATAAACTTTACAAATTTATAATGAATTAGTTTCATACATGTTTAATAAGGTATACATTAAAAATCAGGAATTATTAACATCCGAAAATTGAGTTTTCTTAAGATCTCAAGTGGAATGTTCAACAACTTTACATAATTATAGAAAGAATTGTAAATTTTTGCCATCACTGGGATTTGAACTCTAGACCTGCCACTTGAAGGTTGACAACCTATCCACTTCACTAGGTCACCATATCCCAATACATAAAATTATATATTGTATTATGCTGCATTATTTAATACAAAATTAAAAAATATATATTTATTTTTAGTTATTAGTAATAATAATATATATTAGTTATCAAACAAAAAATTATTTAAAGAAATTTATATTATATAATCTATATAGGTCAAATAAATAAATAAATAAATAATAAATAATAGATAAATAATAAAAAAAAATTTACTATTATTTTACCATATATCTACTAAATAATGATAGTATAACAGTAACATAATAGCAAAATAATAGTAAATTATTAGAAAGTATATTAATATTAGTAACATAATAGTAATATTAATAAAATAATAAAATTATTTTATTATTTTACTAATATATTACTATTATATTACCAACTCAACTCTCTTCATCATCTCAATATATCTGAACTGTCTCAGGATTCTAATCTTTTATCTGACTGGATATCTGCAACTAATACTGAATAGAAAACACTTTATCATGCTAGAAACTTAGAAAATATTAAAAATATAAGAGAACAAATTAATGATAATATAGCTAAAAGAT